GAAGTTTCATAGGACAGATGTGAAGTCATCTTTTCATAGGATGCATGTGAACTTGTGTCTCAAAAGACGTCTGTGAGGACTCTCATACACTGCTGCTGGGACTGTAAAATGGTACAACCACTGTGGAAAGCAGTATGGCGATTCCTTAAAAAGTTGGAATTAGAAATACCATTTGACCCAGCCATTCCATTACTAGATATATATCCTAAAGAAGTGAGAGCCATGACAAAAACAGACATGTGCACACTTATGTTCATCGCAGCACTATTTACAATAGCCAAAAGTTGGAAACAACCTAGGTGTCCATCTACTAAGGAATGGATAAACAAACTATGGTGCATACACACAATGGAATACTATGCAACCCTAAAGAATAACTTAGAATCTGCAAAACACCACCTAACAGGGATGAACTTGGAGGACATTATGCTGAGTGAAATAAATCAATCACAGAAGGACAAATATCGTATTAGTCTGTTATTACAAAAGTCAAGGTAAGGTTTATCTGTGGAAGGAAATTTTCTTTGTTGGTTATCAGGGGTGGTAGGGGAGGGGAGGGAACACTGTTAGATAGGTAGAGATAAGTATTGATTTGGATGAAGAGAACGGCAGTGTACCAAATCTGAGTGATCAACATGGTGGCATTGAGGAAGAGGAAGACAGAGGTACATGGGAGGTACAGACAACAAAAATGAACCCTTTAGCACATACAGTACTGTGTTGTCAGTGAATGCAAACATGGGTATACGGGTGGATAGATGGGTGGACAGGCTGAACTATTAGGTATGTCTATGCAGGGGGGAGTGCACCCAGGACCACATATAGGGTTGGCAAACAATGGTCCTAAAAATGTATTTGTATGTTCTATAAGGATTCCCAGAGGTATAGTAGAGCTGACAAGGAACAAGGTTATAGTCACTTCTTGGTCACAGCCAGCTACCCAGAGGGAGTGCGTAGCTGAACCAGTGGGCTCGGGACCATAGTCACAGGGGACATCAAGCTCAATTGGCATAACATGCTACACAAAACATTGTTCCACCTCCTACTTTGGCGAGTAGCGACTGGGATCTTAAAAGCTTTCAAGCAGCCATCTAGATGCAACGATGGGTCTCTGCTCGTCCAGAGCAAAGAAGAATGACGTTAACCAAAGATTAATGGAAAGAATTAGTCCTAGCGACTGGTACACTGTGCGATCCTCAGCCTAAACGACTGTGAGACCAGAAGAACTAGATGGTGCCCGGCTACCACTGTCAACCACTTGGAGGGGGATCTATGTAGGAGATCCTGGATAGAGAGGGAGAACAATGTGGAACAAAACTCAAAATCATTTGGGGGAAAAATAAAAAAGGGGGACCAGGTGCTGGTCTGACAGAGCCTGGTAGAACCACAGAGACTATGGCCCCTAGCTGCCCTTCAGGTCTGGAATTGAACCCACTCCTGTGGCTTCCAGCCAAACAAAAGACAGGTATATGAGTTGAACATGTACCTGAGATAGATACACTCCTTGGAGAGAGCAATCATGGGAGAAAGAAGGGCTGTTTATGCCCTTCAGGGAGACAGCTCAGGGGCAGGAGTGCATGGAGGGATGGACACAGGGAAGAGGTAACTATGGGGAGGAAGTGGGAGGGGAGCTGTTGCATTATGGTAAATTGTAATCAACGTCATGAGATAAAGTATATGTGAACTGCTGTATGGAAAGTGAATTTGCTCTGTAAATTTTCACCCAAATCACGATTTAAAACAAACTTTAATAGCAACTTAATTGAATGAAAGTCCAATTTGCTCTGTAAACTTTCACCCATATCACAATTTAAAAAAAAAAAAAAAGATGACTGTGAAGTTGTCTTCACAAATGTGAAGTGTCATGTTGTTGTTTTGTGCCATCGAGTCGGCCCGACTCATAGCCACCCCTCCTTGGGTTTCCGAGGTGGTATGACTACGGAAGTAGATTTCCCAACCTTCCTTCCGAGGAGTGGCTGGTGGGTTTGAACCACCAGCCTTCTGGTTAGCAGTCAAGTGCCTTAGGCACTTCACTAGGATGATACGAATTTGTCCTCTTCAAGGGCAAATGTGAAGTGTCATAAGATGAGTATGAAGAAATCTTCTTGAAGGACAGATAGGAAGTTTAGGTCATCTTCTTAAACGATAGATTGAAGTCTTCTTAAACGATGGATTGAAGTTGTTTTCTTGAAGGATGTATGTTGTCGATTCATCCTCTCAAAGGATAGATGCATCTTGTGGGACATACATGAAATAATGTCTCATAGAACAGATGTGAATCATCTTCTCAAAGGACAAATGTGAACTTGTGACTTGAAGGATGGACATGTCTCCTAGGACAGATGTGAAATCTCACAGAACAGAGGTGACATCTCCTAGGACGGATGTTAAGTCATCTTTTCATAGGACAGATGTGAAGTTGTGCCTTGAAAGAGATCTGAAGTTATCATCTCGAAGAACGGATGTCAAGGCCTATAAAGGACACATATGAAGTTGTCTTCTTTTAGGATAGATGTGAAATTGTGACTCGGGAGTGTAGCATGAAGTCTCCTGAGGACAGATGTGAAGTCATCTTCTCAAAGAATGGATGTGACCTCGGTATCTGCCTCACCTGTGCTCTCTGCTCCTGATGCATTTTGGACCATGCCACCCCTCTCCCCTTTTGCAGAGTGCCTGTCAGTCTTGGGGCGCTTTCCTGCACATCTCTTTGTAGACTTTCTGGCTTCTGACAGCTGAGGGCTGCTGTGGGTCTGAGTTTCAGTTCTTTCCTGAACTTGTAAAGCTGTTAAGTTATAGAGATGAATCTAGAATTTTAGCCTTCTGAGTGCTCACCCAGTTTTCTTTCCTTTGCCAAAGGAATGTGTGTTCAGACATTTCAAGCGTCCCTTCACTGGGGACATGGGGGCTAGAGTTACTAAGTCTGTGACACTCTTTCTTGCCCTTTGGGTCCTTGTCCCCAGACCTGTGGGCCCCCTTGCTGAGCCGCTCCAGCCTCTGAGGTTGACTCTTTCCCTAGTTACCTTTTCTAGAAAGCCTGCCCTGCCCCGCAGTGTGCCAGGAGCTCAGGTTTAATGAGTTCTTGAAGTCCCAGTCATGACTCACTGATTTTCTTGTGTCCAACTCGTTACCTTTGGAGGGTTCACCTTGACTCTCCAAGATACTGAAACTCACGTCTCAGCACTAAGGGGACTGCACACAGGTATTTAAATTAACCATTTTCATTAAATAATTACTAAAAAAAAAAAAAAAAGTTAGCATCAGAAAGTAAAAAGTGTAAAACAAAAACCAGCCATCTCTTGTCTTCCTCTTCCTTGGCCCATCCCAAAAATGAGTCACTTCCAGTGGCTACTGTCTGTTCTGGCATTTTCCTCTGCCTTTCACACTGCACGTCCTGCCTTGCCCTTGTGGGTCCTTAGCTCCGTGGGCTTCCTTCTGGACACATGAAGACCCAGCTCCTGCAGAGCTGTCATCCCTTCCACCCACACTATGGAACTTGTAATATTTGCAAAAGAGCGAAACAACAAAGTGCCTTACTCAAAATGGAGCTTGCTGCTTTCTCGTGTAATAGAACAGAATCAGCACGGAATCTAGTACATGAGAATTACATTTCTCATGTAATAGAACAGATGGCACTGTTTCCCAGGATCAGGGGCCTGTGCTCTTCCTCTTCCGTGGCTTTACCGTCTTCACGTGTGCTTCCATCTTGTTTTCCAAAATGGTGGCCCCAGGTCTCTGGCCCACAGTCCCAGGGGCAGGAGGGAGGGGTGCAAGGAGAAGGCAGGGGTCCTTTCCCTTAGGCAGTCCAAGGGGTTATGCAAACACCTGTCCTCAAATTCTACCTGAGGTCCACTTGCCTCCTCCATGGACTTTGGTCTAAATGCTTTATCAGTAATAATAATGAACTGGTGTTTGGGTGCTTAGTCCAAGTTAGATAGTCTTCCAAGTGCTTTCTGTGTATTCACTAATTTGATATTACTCCCCTTTTACAGGTAAGGAACCAGGCATAGTAAATCAAGTGGCTTGTACGAGTCATGCCACTAGCAAGTAGCAGGGCTGGGACTCCAGAGACTGTCTTCACTGACAGTGCTTTTAATTCGGGGTCCCTGGCCCTCTAGGAAAAGGAGCTCTGGTGCTCAGTGGTTAAAGCATTCTCCTGCTGACTGAAGGGTTGTTGGTTTGAACCCACCAGCCGCTCCATGGGAGAAGGATGAAGCAGTCAGCCTCTGTGAATATTGACAGCCTTGAAAATCCTCTGGGGCATTTCCACTCTGTCCTCTAGGGGCGCTGTGGGTCAGAATCGACTCCACAGCAGAGGGTGTGGTTTGGGCTTTGCTTCTGTGAAGACTGACAGCCTTGGAGACCCTGGGGCAGTTCTACTCTGCCCTCTAGGGGCGCTGTGGGTCAGAATAGACTCCACAGCAGAGGGTTTGGTTTGGGCTTTGCCTTGGAAACCCTCTGGGGCATTTCCACTCTGTCCTCTAGGGGCACTGTGAGTCGGAATCAACCTGAGGTCAGTGGTAGTGGGGAGGGAGACCAGGTGGGATGATGTGCGTTCCACCAGACCCCCTCCCCTCCCCCGCCTCCATCTATAGTTCAAGCCGGCGGAAGATGGTCCTTGTGTACAGGCGAAAAGCAGGAGAGCCTTAGTTAATGTTTAGTGTGTGTGCTTATTATGTTAGCCCAGCCCTGGCACTGCTTCCTACTCACCCAGCTTGTGCCAGGGTAAGAGGGCGGGAACACGTCCTGCCTGCTGGCCCTCCATCCGTAAAGGCTTTCTTGAGTGGACCCTTCTGAGATAACAACATAAACGTTTATTTCGCTTTTATCTCTGGGGCTGATGGGCCATGGGCAAGGCTGCAGTCAGGCTCCCAAGGGGCTGGAAGTGGCAGCTCTAGGGGACCATCGGGCGCTACGGTACCTTGCGGGAGGGCCACCAGGCTCAGAGAGCTCTTGTTTCATTGAAACAGTGACCGGGAGCCTGCCTCTGGAATGTGCACATGATGATGGACAACAAGGATTTAGAAGCTGAAATCCACCCCTTGAAGAATGAGGACAGGAAGTCGCAGGAGAACCTGGGTAACTGCACTGACAAAGAGGAGCCCTGTAAGACGCTGCCTCCGCGGTCGCCACTGTCCCGGTGCCGGACGGTGGCCTTTTTCCTGTCCCTGTTTATCTGCCTCTTTGTGGTGTTTGTCGTTTCATTCATCATCCCATGTCCAGACCGGCCTGTGTCACAGCGAATGTGGAGGATTGACTATAACACAACAGGTGAGTGACTGGGGTGGGAGGGGCAGCAGAGCTGTGTCTCAGTGAGGCTCCAAGTGGCCTTTGACAGTGAACCACCCGAGTGGCTGCAGTTTTATGTCCAAAGTGTCCCTGTAGTTTTAGGGAGCTGTGGAGCAGCCCTCTCGATAGGACCTTAGTTGCCCTCTTTCCCCATAAAGCGGAATGAGTGAAAGGGCCCATTGGGTTACTTTTCTGAACTAAAATAATATTTCATAAAACAGAGAGCAACAAGCTAAGTAGATAGAAAAGCCACCACCATGGAGTCAATTCTGACCCACAGCGCCCCTAGAGGACAGAGTGGAACTGCTCACAGGATCTCCAAGACTGTCAATCACATGGGAGCAAAGCCCAAACCACACCCACTGCCATGGAGTCCATTCGGACCCACAGCGCCCCTAGAGGACAGAGTGGAACTGCCCCCAGGATCTCCAAGGACAGAGAGGACAGCCGTAAACTGAAGAATACACAGGGTTTTGTAGTCCAGTCTTCCTGAGATGCTCCTACTACCTCTCTAGTTAAAACTAAAAACTGAACTCACTGCCATTGAGTCAATTCAGACTCATAGCGACCCCTACTGGGTTTCCAAGGCTGTAAATCTTTACGGAAGTAGATTGCCCCATCTGCCTTCCACAAAGCAGCTGGTGGGTTTAAACCGCTGATCTGGTTAGCAGCCAAATGCCTTATCCACTGTGCCACCAGAGCACCTCCTCTCTCCTGTTGTTCGGTGCCGACAAGTCGTGTCTGACTCAGTGACCCTGTGTACAGCAGAATGAGACACTGTGCGGTCCTGCACCAGCCTTGCAACCCTTGCTATTCCTGAGCCCATCACCACACCCACTGTGTCAGTCCATCTCGTTGAGGGCCTCCCCTTTTTCATTGTCCCTCCACTTTTATACCCTTCTCTAGGGAATGGTCCCTTCTGACAATACTACCAAAGTTGGTGCTAAAAGGACAGGGAGGCCACATCTTCTGACCTCCTCTAACCGCAGAAGAGGAAGACGGCATCAACATCAGTAGCCTAGGGCCCATTACTGTGAGACCAGACGTGCTGTTTCCCCCCAGCCCTTTCACCAACCCTGACACCAACCGTTTCTCCCCCAGCACTCACCACCTTTCTGCTGGGTGCAGTAATTCGCTTCAGTGGCCACACAGAACTCACAGATTATGGGGTTTATTAGAGAAGCACCAGGGTATAATTCAAGTTCAGGTGAAACACTCAATCTCTCTCAGCCCACTGTCTCCCACAAGTCTCTCTCCCAGCAGTGCGTGTCCCTCGGTGTCTTTCTCAGCCGTGCGTCTCTTGCATCTCTCTCCTCCTAGCAGTGTGTGTCCCTCAAGAGCGTGTTTCTTCTCAGCAGCACGTCCTTCTCAGCCAGCAGTCAGAGTTCTGCCTCTAGGAGGCCTCCTTTTGAGCCCGGCAGAGTGGCCAAACTAGCCAATCATAACATCAAAATTCTGAACACCAGAGAGAGAGTGAGCCTCCCAGAACATTGCTTTGTGCCACTCCCAACAGAAATACTCCAGGTTAATAACTTTTACAATCAGGAGCTCCTCAGTTGCTCACAGCAAATTCCACCACGGAGTTTACACAGACTTATGGCTAGAAAAGCCATACCAGGTAATTTACTACACTGCAATAGGCGAGACGAAGTCTGGCCATTCTCGCTTCCAAGGAGCATTCCAGCTGCACTTCCTCTAGGACAGAACTGTTCGTTCTTCTGGCAGTCCGTGGTACTTTCAGCATTCTTTGCCAGCACCACAACTCAAAACCATCAACTCTTCTTCGGTCTTCCTTATTTTTTGACATTTTCTGTTTATCTCTTTTATCTTGTCATTTCTTCCATTTGCTTTTGCTACTCTCTGTTCAAGGGCAAGTTTCAGAGTCTCTTCTGACATCCATTTTGATCTTTTCTTCCTTTCCTGTCTTTTTAATGACCTGTTTTCTTCATGGGTGATGTTCTTGATGTCATCTTACAATTCCTCTGATTTTTGGTCACTGGTGTTCAATGCATCAGATCTATTCTTTAGATGGTCTCTAAATTCAGGAGGGATATATTCAAGGTAATATTTTGGCTCTTGTAAATTTGTTTTAATTGTTTTCCACTTCAACTTGAACTCCTCTCTAGTTAGCTCTCATAAAACTGGCATCCAGAATCTTGGCCTTTATGAAAGGCCTATATCAGCCTTGCTCAGGACACTGTCTGTCTCAGAGCTGGGCAAGCAGCTTGTCCTGTCAGCATGTCTGTGGGTGTCAATTTTAATGGTCCCAGAATGTTTCTTTTGCATCAACTCGAGGGCCTGTCTGGTGGGAGAACAATTTCTGGCTGGCATTTACTGTGTAAGGTCAATTCTGTTCAGCATTTGGAACTTGATGCTTAATTCTGAGGGGTGGGACATTTTTTTTTCCCCCCATCTTCATAGAGGTATAGTTTGCATATTGTAAAGTTCACTCATTTTAAGTGTACTAGGAACACTGATGGTATGGTGCCTAAGCCATTTGACTGCTAGCCAGAAAGTTGGCAGTACAAACCCACTAGCCACTCCACGGGAGGAAGACTGGGCAATCTACATCTGTAAAGATTTACCACCTCAGAAACCCAAAGGGGGTTGCTATGAGTCGGAATTGACTCGATGGCCGTACAGTTTGGTGGGATTTAGTCAATTTACAGATTGTGCAGCTCTCCCCGCAGTACAGTTTTAGAACATTCCCTTCATCCCAAAAGGATTCCTCACAACCCTCCGTCATCAGTCTCCGTCTCTCCCCAGCCCCATGAAACCACTAGTCTGCTTTCCAGCACCATATGCTTGCCTTTTCTGGGTGCTCCCTATAAATGGAGTCACACAGTATTTAACCTTGTAGCCATTTGAGTCTGAGCTCTCTCACTTGGCATGGTTTTAAGGCTATTTATGTTGTTGAGTGTTTCTTTTTATTGTAGACTAGCATCCCTTGGGAGCTCTTGTGGCATAGTGCCTAAGGCATTTGATTGCTAACCAGAAGGCTTGCAGTTCAAACCCACCAGCCACTCCTTGGAAGGAAGATTGGGCAATCTGCTTCCATAGAGATACTGCCTCAGAAACCCAAGGAGGGGTCACTGTGGGTTGAATCAACTCGACAGCAGTGAGTTTGGTTTTTGGTTTTGGTTTAGCATCCCTGGTGTGGACAGACCATCTTGTGTATCTGTTCACCAGTTGGTGGTCATATGGATTGCTTACAGTTCTTCACTACGATGAATGATGCTTCAGTGGACACTCGTGTATAGATCTTTGTGTGGACATGGGTTTTTCTCTTGGGTAGAATTCTGGGAGTGAATTGTTTGGCCTTATGGTTTGTCATGTTTACCTTTTTGGGAAACTGCCAAGCATTTTCCAGGGCAGCTGCACTGCTTTCCATCACTCCAGCAGTGCACGAGGGTTCTAGTTTGTCCACCTCCTTGCCAACACTTGTTATCTTCTGTGTGTGTGATTAAGCTATGTTGTGGATGTGAAGATGTATCTCACTGTTTTAATTGTTTCCCAAATGACTAATGATGTTGAGCATCTTTTCATCATGGTTCATAATGGTTATTGGCCATTCTTAACTCTTCTCTGATGACTAGCTAGTCATATCTTTTGCTCATTTTTAACTGGGTTGTCTGTCTTCTTATAGAGTTAAAAGACTTCTTTATTACTCACTCCTCACTTATTGCCATGCTTAGTTAGGGTCCAAAGACCAGGCTGGTGTGTGAAAGTCAGCACTGTGCAGAAACAAGGACAACCACATCCGGTCACGACGTGGAGACTGACCACATCCAGTCACAACGTGGAGAACGACCACATTCAGTCACAACGTGGAGACTGACCACATCCGGTCACAACGTGGGGGACGACCACGTCCGGTCACAACATGGAGACTGACCACATCCGGTCACAACGTG